TGTTAATGGGCTCTGGGACATGCAGCCATTCTGCTAGGAACATCTTGAAATGATACCTAGATTGGTAACACCTATTTGCGTGTGGGACTGATTGGCTCGGCCCTAAGACAAGCATTTAATGACATGCCAGTCAGTCCTCAGCCCCGCTTGTGTCCCCTTAGACGGGCTGACTTAAAGAAAAATGACAGAAATGTTCTTTAATAACTATGGTTTATCCATTTCTTTCAGATACTAAGTGGCACGTTCTCACCTCATTTGCAGCTTTTAATCCCAAATGGACATCGCTTTTGAAATATCCTCTTTCTTTCTTTTCTCTTCTTTTTTTTATGCCCCCCGAAGCTGCCACTTAAAAGTTGAAATCTAACAAGAATGTAATGGTGGGTGCCAGCTTTCTGAATTACAGGGTGACTGCCCGAGCTGATCCTACATAGCAAGTGTCTTTTTTATACCGCATAAAAGGCTGAAATGTTTACATATCAAAAGGCTATAGGCCAATTTCTGTCAAAATTACACATGAAGTTAAGCAGTACAAGCAATTTATTTAAACACTAGTCATTGTAGAAAAATTCAAAACCATATGCTCTCTTAGCAGTTTTTCACAAATGCATTTGACCCATGACTTGGCTAGACATACAAGCTTCATAATTTACTCTAGATTTCAAATCCCCTTGACGTTTAAATAAAAGATCTTCATTAATGAGGTTTACATGAAGGAAAACTTTAGACGCTCATATCGGTTAGCGAGGGGCTTCGGAACCGGCTCTGTGATCGCTCTAATTTTCAAATGACTGACTTTGCTAATCATTTCAAGAGAAAGTTCCTCCGAGAACAAATTATCCTCATTTGCATGCTGTGATTTGCACAAGCAACAACGCCCTCTGAAACAAACTCGGGTAAATAGCCCGGCTGAGAGCCGATTTCGGAAACCCCGGGAGGAGCGAAGCTGTTGGTTTCCCCCCCTCCCTGGGGGTGTTTTGGACACAGGTTCTTCTCTCCCAGGGCTGCGCTGAGCTCTCCTGATCAGGGATCATTTTGTTCCCTGGGGGCGAGGAAAGAACTCTGCGCTTTTATCTGTAATGCTGCGAGGCTTCTAAAAAAAAAAAAAATTCCACGGCTGCCAGCGTCCCTGTGTCCTGCTGCAGGCGGGACACCGCGGGGATGTTCTGCTCGCGAGCTGCCTCCGAGCGTGCTCTAGTCCACTCACCCGGCCTAGAGCACCCAGTCCTCCAGGAGCTGCAGGAGGGGTCCTCCGGGGAGACGCAGGACCCTGGAGCCAGAACGGGGCACCGGTTTGGAGACACTGATTTTGTCAGTCCCAATACAAACCACAGAAGCGATTGGCGCAGTGAAACCTGCGGGACGTCGGGCGGGTGCCCCTGTTGTAAGCGTGTCCGCTAACGCACACTGGGAGGGTTCCCCACCTTTGAAAAGGACCAGCTGGTGTCTTCCACATGATGGGGGGGCGGGGGGATGGAATCGTACTTAAAAAAGATGCACCCCGCTGTGACTCGGCAAAGAGAGCTAAGAAAGTTCCTAAAACGAATCCTAACAAGTTGAGGCCGCAGATCCGAGCATTAATATATAAATATATATCCTAGGGTGCCGGGAAAGTGGGGGGACAGTCCCCTTCCTGGGAAAGTCTCTCAGTTCGGGAAGACATACCCCTCCCCCCCATGCACACGCACATCCCCAATTGGGCACTCTGTCCACAGAAGCTATTTCATCCATGCTCTTGGAACCAATTTAGCGATCACCGCAGCGCAAAGGCGCCTTGAAGATGCCAAACGACAAATACACCTTATGTATGCAGAATCCACTGATCTATTCTTTAATATCTTAAAAATGAGAGCTATTACTGGGGCGAGTGACTCCTCAACAAACACATTTCCATAGACTTGTGCGTGGTGATTGCTTTGTGTGAAATCGTGTTTGGGTGATAATAGGGAAAATCAGCGGCGTGTTTACTGCATCCCCAACCCAAGCGCTCGCAGGCCGCCTCCGGACCGTCCTGGTCCTCCCATGCTGAGAGATGCGTGCGGGGTGACCGACAATCGCTTAGCAACACGAGGCGGGCAATTTGCGTGCGCCCGGTTTGTTATTCCAATTGCGTCTGGCGGAGCGGAGCCGCAGATTGTTTGTGCAGCGGTGTGTCGGACACTTGTGGGTCCCCGTCGGCGGAGGAGATGCAGCGGATCCCAGCGTCCCTGGCGCTGCCTCCCCGCAGACAAAGCGCAGGGGCCTCTGAAGGAGGTGGAGACCTAGAGGGGGAGCCCGACCCCAGCCATGCCACCCCTCTCCCGAAGGTTTATCAGAGGATCAGGAGAGCATGCTGACAAGCTGTCCCCGTCTTGTCCCAGACTGGAGACCATAAATACACTCCGTAGTTCCTTAGAGGGAGAACCTGCACTGGAGTCCTTCCCCAACCTGCTCATCCTAGCAGAGGAGTGATTTTTACCTTAGTTAACTCTTAGGCTTGTAAACGAACCGGTGATTGTTGGGAGTTGGTTTGGTAGATTCAAATCCGTACGCGCGACAACTTTCCAAGGTGTCAACGCAGACGCTCGAATCTGCTAATTGTCAGAAGAGGGGACCGGAAGGAGGGCTGCGAGACGGGGAGAGCGCTCTCTCGGGGGACAAGGGTGCTGATCTGTTCACGCAAAACCTGGGGATCCCTGTGGTGTCCTGGTGGCCAAGGCAGCTGCGGGATCTCCAAGGAGCCACTGCTCCGAGGCCCCGTGGCGCTTCTGCATCCGCCCGGCTCCGGCAAAAAAAAAAAAAAAAAAAAACAAAAACACTAAGAGTCACTGGTGCACGCCCCGCGGGCTCTTTGGGCCACCACCCACAAACTCACAGGCAGGCGAGGTCACTGACCCCTAAAACTGTGGTCTCCACATGGGCTCCAAGTTGGAGCCTGGAAAATTTGGGAGTGGGCAATGGTGGCCATGAAGTCCCTGAGAACCGGGGAGGGTGGGGAGAGCCATAGTCTCCCTACCCCTAGTTGGCAGGAGAGGGAAGGGGCCCACTTCTTGCCCCAGACCTGACCCCTCTGCAGGTTGCACCAGCTCCCCGGGTCAGTTTTGATTGTTAAAATAACCATCTGCCGCCCCGGCCCCGACCTGTTTCAGTCTCACTAGAGCCTCTTCCAGCTTGCAGGGCGCGCAAAGTCCCTCGGGCCTGCGAGGACGCGTGCGGGGAGGCCTGGACGCGATCGGCCGCCGCCCGCCTCGGCCTCTGCCACACGCACGCACCCTGGGGAGTTCCGCGCCGCCTTGGCCCTTTCACCCGCTAAGGGCAGCTGACCGCGGAGCGACCGCCCGCCAGGGGAAACCACCGGAGTTTGAAACTCCGCTGGGTAACTAGCCCTGGAGAAATCGCAAGCCTGGAGTGCGGGTAACAGGGGGCCTTCTCTTCGGGGAATCCCTAAGTGGCCCGCACAGGTCCCCTCGCGGGCCTCTCCGGATCGAAACTGCACCCCGCATCAGAACGGGCGGCGTGGCTCTAGGGAAGGTGGCTAGGAGCCTGCGATCGGAGGACCTCGGACCTCGGGGCTGTCTCTGCTTGATGCATCCCCGCAGACTGCGCTCTCGGAGCGGGGCTTTCGGCCGCCTGAGCGCAATGGCAGCGAGGCAGTGCAGCGCCCAGAGCCACGAAAACCAGGCCCCCGTGCAGGCCCCGGCTGCTCGGGGAGCTCAGCCCGGGCCTGGCGGGCGCACGGGCAGCCAGCCCTCAGCTGGGGGAGTGAGCCGGCTGGAAGGGAGCAAGTTTGGGGACAAGCCCTAAAGGCCCCATTTAGATTTTAAAAACTTAAAATAAGTGTGAGGACATACCCATTTCCAAAAACAAATGTTTTTAAGTCCAAAACCTACCGATACCCACGAGGGGGACAGCTGGACCATCGTCTCGGGGAGCTAATCCTGGTGGCGAGAGGACCTAGGGAGAGCCAGGGTGGTTTTCAGACCCAAAGTGACTGAAAAACAAAACAAAAACTTTTTTTGAAGAAGAAACATGATCACTACTTCTTTCGTCGTTTTCGCTTTTTACAAATTTTGGCTTTTGCAAAAATTTAGGCACGGGGCGGGGGTTAACCACTTCCATTCGGGTCAAGATTTTTTTTTTTTAAAGTAGAGATGAAATGAGGCGGTGAAGACGCGGGAGAACGGAGGCGTGGAGTTTTCAACCCAATATGAGTGAGGACGAACCCTTTCACATTTTTTTCTGAAACAAAACCAATTTCAAATCGTGTGTGTGCGTGTGCGCGAGGGGGCTGTAATTCCCGTAGCAAACCCGGCCGCAAAGAAGCAGCTGAGTTAGAGGAAATCGCACCCATTAATGGAACCCAGTTGGAGAAAAGGGGTGGGGGCGCAGGGGCCGGGCGCGGGGAGTTGTTAACTGCGCCGCACAATGGAATTAATGAGATTAACCGGGGCAATTAGGCCGCCAGCCCAGCTCCGAGCCGGCCCTCCGCGGCTGCCGAAGGGGAAAGATTAGGTAAATTTCATTAATTCTCAATCCACAATCTCTTCGCAGGCCTGGCCGCCCCCTTCCCTCTTTACGTCTGCCCCCCCTCCCCTGCAAAGTCTCCCCCCATTCGCCCCCGCCGCCCCCCAACACACACACACACACACACACATACACACACACACACACACAGCATCCCGACCCAAAGGAAAAGAAAGGGCCAAATCTGGTTCTGTTTGTCATCTGCATATTACCAGGAACTAAATCCAGGATGACGTCGACTCAGTATAAAACCAACAAGAGGTTCCGCTGGTCTGCGCTGCGTGCTAGGCGCGGGCTGAGCTGGGCGAGCGCCGCGGCCCGGAGGGCGGGAGCAGCGGGCGCAGGGGGCGGGGAGGGGCGCGGGGCTGCGCGCTCGGCGCGCTCTCTTTCGCTTTGCTCGGCGGCAGGAGGAGCGGAGTCCACCCCAGCCCACCCCCAGCCCACCCCCACCTTGAGGCTTTTTTCCTCGGCGCGAACGGCTCCCGGTGCGGGGCTCGGGGATGCCCGCCAGCATGTTCAGCATCGACAACATCTTGGCCGCCCGGCCGCGCTGCAAGGACTCGGTGCTGCCGGTGGCGCCGAGCTCCGCGGCTCCGGTCGTCTTCCCGGCCCTGCACGGGGACTCGCTCTACGGCGCCGGCGGCGGCGGCACCTCCTCGGACTACGGCGCCTTCTACCCGCGGCCCGTGGCCCCCGGCGGCGCGGGCCTCCCGACCCCGGTCGGTGGCTCCCGCCTCGGTTACAACAACTACTTCTACGGGCAGCTACACGTGCAGGCGGCGCCGGTGGGCCCGGCCTGCTGCGGGGCCGTGGCGCCCCTGGGCGCTCAGCAGTGCTCCTGCGTGCCGACGCCCCCAGGTAGGGTTTCCCGCGCGTGGGTGTGGGCGGGGGATCCTGTGATCCTTACCTGGCGCAAGGCCTTTTGCTTGTTCCCCTTTTGTGGCCGCTTCGCTGGAGGAGCTTGCTTGCAAAGTTTAGGAGAAAGTGGCGCAAACTGTAACCCACGGCCGGCCCCGGGAAAGCCTGGGTCTTGAGACTTCCTGGCTGAGTCTGGGATGTGTGTGGCACGGAGCGCTCTGATACGTTCCCCACTGTGTCCCGAATTCTCTGCCATCTCTGCGTCCGGCCTGCTGCGGTGGGACAGGGTGGCGGACAGACGGCGGGCGCGCGTGTGAGCGGTGGTGTGTGAGCGGTGGTGCCTGACCGCGCGCCCCTCTCTGCCGCAGGCTACGAGGGCCCGGGTTCGGTGCTGGTGTCGCCCGTGCCCCACCAGATGCTGCCCTACATGAACGTGGGCACGCTGTCGCGCACCGAGCTACAGCTGCTCAACCAGCTGCACTGCCGGCGGAAGCGGCGGCACCGCACCATCTTCACCGACGAGCAACTAGAAGCGCTTGAGAACCTCTTCCAGGAGACTAAGTACCCGGACGTGGGCACGCGCGAGCAGCTGGCCCGCAAAGTGCACCTCCGCGAGGAGAAAGTGGAGGTAAGGCGCTGGCACACTCGGCGCGCGGGACGGGGGGGCTCCCTGCTGCGCTCTGGGGACGTCCCGTTGGCGGGAAGGCGCTTAGGCCCAGGAAGTGGAGCGCCCAGGGAAGCCGCCCTGTGAGGTTTTAGGGGGCCAGTGTTCCTTGCTGACTGTCCCCGGGGACGCCTCGCCCGGCACCTTGGTGGTCCTGATCGTTGTTTTGTGCTCGGTTGCGCCCCAGGTCTGGTTTAAGAACCGCCGCGCCAAATGGAGGCGACAGAAGCGGTCGTCTTCGGAGGAGTCGGAGAACGCAGAGAAGTGGAACAAGGCGTCATCGAAAGCGTCGCCCGAGAAGAGGGAGGAGGAAGGTAAAAGCGATGTGGACTCGGACAGCTGACGGCCGCAGGCCGCCTCGGAGGACTTGCACGGACAGACAGGCGATGCTGCTGGCTTGCCCCCGCGCTGCGTCGCGGATGGGTCGAGGAGGAGGAAGCAGGAGCTGTAAATATGTGTGTGCCGAACCGCTCCGGCCGCCCGCGCCGCGTCCCCACCGTAGTATTTATAGTTAAATTAAAGGCAACAGACAAAAAGTGATGGCGAGCGATCTGTGTTTGCGTGCCCTTGCCGCCGCCACTCCGGTCCGCCTTAGGCCGGCAAAGGAAACCTGCAAGCGGGCGGTTCCTGGCAGCGGGCGGCTTTGGCCTGTCGGAAAAAGAAAAACGCAGGGTTTCAAGAGCCTGAGAAGCAAAGCAGGGCGCTTGCCAGGTGTGCGGGGAAGGGTGGAGAGAGATCCCCCGGGGCATGGGTGGCCTCAGGCCCGGAGCTGCGTTTGGAGCCGACTCCAAGCTGTTCACCCGGCCCGGTTCCCGGGGAAACTCTCAGGCCGAAGCCGGCCAGGCCCGGGGGAACTGCGGCTGCCGGCTTGCGGCTCCCCGCTGCTTTCCCCGATCGTCCCCAGCAGGCTGCCTGCTCCTTCCTGCCTGAGGCGTTCCCATCCCACGACCCGGCGCCCTCCCCCGCCACTCGCCCTTGGGCCGGCCTTGTCCACTGCGTGGTGGCAGCACCCGAGCCCCTGCTTGCTTCCCGGGCATCTCTGCGCTTTGCACCAGCCGGGCAGAGGAGGGAGCTGCGGTCAACGCGCAAGTGCGCTGGCTCCTGGGCAGGATGGAAGGGGCCCCTGGGCAGAGATGAAGACCAGGTCGCTCCTTCTTCACCGGGAGACGGTTTGTTCATAGCTTTCAGTACTTAGGTTTTGAGTCGGTTTCCCAAACCACGGAGAGCTTTGGAGCTGGACCGCCATGCTCGCTGACCGGAGAGCGGAGCTTGCTCTTCTTCGATGGTGCTGCCAGTCCCGCAGCGGGACACGTGGCACAGGGCTGCAACAGCTTTTTGGCATGGAGTCTGGTTTTTCTGCAGCTTGTGGTAGGTGTGCAAGGTGGAGAGACTCCCCACGCAGGGGAGATGCTTTTCTGGAAAAGTGATCCCGGGTCCTGCTGGAGTAGGAGACAAGGGCAGCAGAGTGGAGACCCGGGCTTTGTCAAGGTTGCCTTAGGTGTTTGACCAAACTCTGGCTTTGTGACCTTGGGCAGGTTAACCTCTGTGACCCGCCCATAGCTGTAGTGTGGGTGTGGCTGCTGTGCTTCCCAGCGCCTCTGGGCGCCAAGGAGAATACTCAGTCCCTGGCAGCGTGGAGCTGGCTGGTGGGAATCCTTCAACAGGGCCGCTGCTATTGGGGAGCCATAGTGCGGTTTACCTTGCATAGCACTGCTACCTTTAGGTGACCTCATCTTGTGGTCCAGGAGTCTGTGCGATGGAGACTGTTGTCACTGTTTGCAGATGGGGGAGCTCGGGTTCCGCAGTTCCAAGTATTGCAGCTGCTGGGAAGCACAGAGGCTCTGGTCTTTGCCCTAGTGAGTCTCGTACCAGAATTAGAAATGTTTCCACGCCAAGCAGTTTTGTGAGAAACACCCCAAGACGCCATGTCACTGATTCCCACCGCGTCTGGGTCTGGCTGTTATTTGTACCTGCTCCTTCCAGGGGTCAGAACCTGGCCTGTGCTGTGCCCCATCCCCTAACAGCTGATGTTCCTCCACAGTGGGGTCTATTCCCACAGGGGCACTGGCTAGAAGTGGGCAGTGTCATACTCTGAATGCTGGCTATGTCCTTACGCATGTAGCTTGTACTCGGGCATACCATTAGAAGGAATTGTCCATTTCAAACAACTAAACCACGCAATGCTCTATGACAAGTGATGGAGAGAGGTGTGTTGCAATGGGGGTGGCTTAGGGTCCTCAGCAATCCCTGAGCACCTGGAACAAAGCCACAGAAGTGAGGCAAGTTCCAGGAAGAGCTGCTTCTGGTATGATACCCTAGGGTGGCCAGAGAAGGTGCCTTCCTTGTCCTCAGAGTGAAGAGCTTTGGGGTTGGCCCGCGTGAGCAGGAAATGGACATAATGAGCGTCTGGAGTGAAAAGGAACATGTTAACAGGTCTGTGTGATGCTGGTCCACCCTCCTTCCCTCGGCACCCCCGGCCGCTGTGGGCTCAGGCCTCCAGCGCCAAGCGGGGCCAGGTAGGGTCACAGAGCGTTAAGCGTAGGTCTGTTGGCGGGCCATGGCCTTGTCCCTGTCGTCTGAGGGTATCTGGATCGTGGTGTTGGACAGCAGGGTGCATGTGGGCATGGAGTCAGCCAGTGACTCTGCCTGTGTGGTTGTAGCGTGTGTCCCCCTCCCTGAGTAGCTGTGTTCTGCCCCTTTCAGAGCAGTCGCACAAAGCGGGCCAGAAGAGTGAAGCAGTGGCTGGGAGTTTGCAGGTGCAGGGGATGCTCAACAGCCATAAACGGGGCTGTCTCACTGGACCCAGCCTTGTTTTTTAGGGCTGATGAGCCACAACCGCCATGAGAGTCCAAGGTCTCATGACTAAGGTGTATTGTTCCCCTGGGAGATTAGGAATGCACCAGCCCCCAGAGGCCCAAACGGACTCTAGGGAGGAACAGCGGTCTAGCACCTTCCCTACCACACCCATCTCAGGCCTGCAGGAAGTGGGAACCTCAACCCATTCTGCAGGTGGCAAGTGGAGGCTCCCAAAGACCTGCATGCTTTGTGCTTCAGCAGACACCGGGTGGCAGAGCAAGCCTGGATCCCTCAAGCTTCCACCAACTCTTGCGCTAAGGAAGAGGTTTGGGGAAATGGCTTCCAGGTGTCCCCGGTCACCTGGGCCCAGAGGGTACCCAGCCAGCCTGGAGGTGACAGAGGAGGGGACCCGCGTTCTCTTTTCCCTGGAGGCCCGCCTGGTCTTAGCAGTTCTTGGTAGTCTGCAGGAGTGAGGCAGAGGCTAGGGAAAACACTACAGAAGCAGCCCTGAGTGGTGCAGGTCCAGGAACCGGAAGGCTGCTTTTATTGACGCTTCGGCCTGAGCGAATTGGTGAGGTCCCTCGTTGGGGTATGTGCGTAGGAGACTGAAGCAGCCCGTGTCCATTTTTCATTTCTTTGTGTCTGGGGCAGGAGGCTCTTTTTCTGGGCTGCGTGTAGTTTTTTAAGCAATCTCAGTAAAGCAGTTTGTGCACCAAGATCGCTACCAAGAGCTCTCTGCCCCCGCCGCTCACCCCCACAGCCTCTGTGCTCGGACTTACTGCGTCCGGCACAGGGTTCCCCTCCTTGGGGGGACTAAGGTGTGCCACTGCACAACTCCACCTCCGTCAAGATGGAGTTTCTGGCCAACAGGAGGACAGGACCCTGTGTGTGGCTGCCCTGGTACCACTGCTATGGAGGGGGGGCTGTGCACCTGCCCATGACCTGCTATAAGTGCTGTGAGCTCTGCGTCTGTTAAGCTTCTACCTCACCTGTAAAATGGGTGTGGGGAGAGGATTGGAGATAGCTTAAGTAGAGAGCCCAGCAGAGCGTCTGACACCTTTCTCACCTGTGGGCAGCCAGTGGCTTGCCTGAGGGATTAAAGAATACATCTCGCATTTAATTACTGTTGGTTTAGGAGTTTAGGTGTGAGCCTGGAATGCAAACTTGAGTGAAATGGTGATGGCCACGAATGGACAACAAGGAAGCATTTGATAAGGCTTCAGAGTTAGCATTCTCCCTGAGGTTTGGGATCTGGAGAAAGAGATTGAAGACAGGAAAAAAACTGGAGTGGATTTGCATCCGATTTTCAAGTTTTGTGAAACGACCTTGAAGTTTAAAAAAAAAAAAAAGTAAAAATGGAAACAAAACCCAGCTGCCATGGTGCATAGCCCCTGGGAAGTCCTGGGGAAAAGACAGGTCTGGCCGGGCATCTTGGCTGTAGGGGCCCCTGCTGGGTGGTGGGGGACAGGGGACATCTCCCAGGCTTGTGTATGTGTGAGAGACATGGGCTTGTCACAGCTTGGTTTTGAGCCTGGGCAAAGTGAAAAGGATCGCCCCTGTAGCACCAGCGACCTGTGGAGTCAGCAGGGTGCGTGATGGGATGCGGCCGCATTTTCAAGTGGGCTTAGGCATTTTGGATTACAGCAGTCTTCCTGTGTCCAGCTGTTGGAGCACCTACTGTTAGGGAATCTTAACACTCCCTCCCAGGCCCTTCCCGCTTCCCTGGGAATTCAGCCCACTCCTACTTTCTGCTTTCCTAATTATGAGGTCCCCGAGAGTGTGCGAGTGTGCGGGCAGCTCCAGCTAAGCGGGGCCGTGTCTCCCGAAGTGCCCTTGCACACTCGCTTCTCCAGAGCTGGTTTACATTAGGTAAGCTGGTGTCACTAGGGAGGCAATACCAGTGTTTCAAAGTGTGAGGATCATTGCTTCGCCAGTCCTGCTTGTAGAGGCCGAGGCTGGGAGCGGCCTCCCCCGTGTGGCAGGAGTGTCCTGGCCGACCCCAGGAACCGGAGACAAGGCTCCACCAAAGAAAGGCTGGACACCTTCGTGAACATTCTTTCCCCGGCTATTTCCTGGTCCCCAGTTCTCAGAACTAACATATGCTAACTTTAGGCGTTTTTTTTCTTTTCTTCATGCCCCCCCCCCCTTTGCAAGATGGGAAGCAGAGATATTTTAAAAATCTGAATTTTCAGAGGCAAGATCCTGTGTGGGGGACGTGGCCACAGGTGCCGTGTTTCCCCCCAAATAGTGCAGTGGCTGCAGCTCCCCGTCGTCCCCAGTCCCTCCAGGGGGTCTCCGCAGAGCAACTTGCCAGGGACAAAGCAGTTTCACAGGCTGCGTGGGGGTGGGGAGGGAGGGGCTTTGTGCAGATGGCAGGGTGGGGCGGTGGGGCGGGCAGCCTGGGTCTGCACACCCCGGATAGGGCCTGGCCAACCTCATGGTGACGGTGCCTGCTTCAGTCACCCCAAACGAATTATTGCCATCACCCACCAGGGCCAAAAGCTGCTTCTTTCCAGATGGGGTCTGGCTAATCCTGCTTTGAGGATC